CCCCCCCCCCCCCCCCCCTCCCCTTTCTCTCCTGTGAAAATAAGGAAGAAAAAAAAAGATACAAGATTTGATCATTTTACAGTTTTATATACTTGCAAGGACAGGAAAAAGTGGGGAAAATCCCATCAGATTCTAGTTTTCCAACATATTTTTCGTCTGTCCAGAGTAAGCTTTACACACAGGATTGGATTGGTTTGAAAACCTTGGATGATGCTGGTAAGGTGAAGTTCATCAATGTGTCAGGAAACCATCTCGGAATTACCCAAAGCGACATGATAAAACATGTTGTTCCATACTTGGAGAATAAAGCATCGACACAGGGTGGCATTACAGAAGGATCGTCATCTTATAGCTGGCCATCATCAGTTAAGAGCAGCTTTGGAGGATTAGTTGGATTTGCAGAAGATGGCTCATCACCAAACACTTGATCTCTCTGATTCAGAATCATTAAGACTATGATACGCGTCAACTGGATTAATTAACCTCTCCTCAAGAGGTAATACCTACTTATACTGTAATTGCCTGTNACGCAACTTCTTAATTTCATTTACTTCTTCCCATTGTAGCCCTTGGCAATAATTGGTTATAAACCTTGTTAGAGCTTGTCCTACATTGTTATTGCAAGGCCTACTCTGAAACACGAACGACTCCGTGCTTTTCCCTGTCAATACCCGCCCTTGAACTAGCCTTTGAAGCATGAAGGTCATTTTGAGGATTTATGCATCTAGAATAATTGATAATACCAACTTCTATAATGCTCATATACAACACAAATTGTTTCTAAGTTATACTCACTTATGAATTATTCCTATATGTACTCTCAATTTTAATTTAAAATTATATCAGTGTAATTATGATATATATAGTGCCATATAAATTATCCTATACCCAAAATATATATTTTGCATTCTTGCCTTTTGTANAGTAGTGAAATGCACAAAGGTATTCTATTCCAGCAAGAAAATCGGAGTCACTTTCTCTTCACTTTAGGACCGCGGTGTCAAATATGTCGAGTTAAACGGTTACGTATTATGTTAAACGGGTAACGAGTAAAAAATATATAAATTCGTACACGACACGTTTAATAAACAGGTGAAAATTTTCAACATGAACACAACTCTTTTATCCCGTTTAAAAACAGCAAAAAAATCAACAAAAAAAATATTTATTTTAATAAATTTTTACACTTTATTTCTTTGCTTTCAGTTGTACTTTCCCCAATTAAAAAGATTCCAACCAATAGCCCAAATGAAAGTCACACCACAAATATTAGTTAAAATGAAAAGACCCACTACTTTTTTTTAATAGGCAACTAAAGCCTCCCTCTTTACTCCTTTGTCTCCCTCTTTACTCCTATGTCGATGTGAGACTAAAGGAGAAGCAATTCAACTCCTCTTCTGCGCAGCAACTCATATTTGTAAAATCAAATTATCAAAAAAAAAAATTTACTCATTTATTATTATTATTATTATTAATTTATTATTATATTAAATTTATTTAAACATGTGATAAATAAATTGACAAGTCTCACCCGAACACGACCCGTTTATTAAACGTGCCTAACAAGTCAACCCGTTTATCACTCAAATCCGCTTAATTCATGTCAATTAATCGTGTCAAATCAAATTTTAACAAACCTACACTGAGTCACTAACCATATGGTTGCATGATTGCATGACAGCGAAATAAATAGTCGGGCATGACTGGCCATGCATTTGGTCTATGATGTCAGGCAGCGGCAACTTATTAGGAAAATTCAACCAAAGGTTTTGCCGGCCTCATAGGTGGTGGTATCACACGCTTCTCAAAAGACGCATACGTGACACTCGGCTCCTTCCCGGAATCAACACTTTCCCTTTTCCTCAAACCAATCTATCCTCCCTTTCTATTTTTGGACAAAAATAGATTTTTTTTTTGATTCAAGATATTTTTACCGTGCCTTATTAAAAAGTAAACAAGAAGGGAGAAAGTTAACTTTGCAAAGGAAGGTGCTTGTTGCCACTTTATTAGTAAGTTGCTTTACTAAGATTCTAATATAAGGGGCGTTGGCNAGATATTTTTACCGTGCCTTATTAAAAAGTAAACAAGAAGGGAGAAAGTTAACTTTGAAAAGGAAGGTGCTTGTTGCCACTTTATTAGTAAGTTGCTTTACTAAGATTCTAATATAAGGGGCGTTGGAGCTTTAGTTTGGCATGTAAATAAAGGTTGTCATTATTATTCTAATTGTCGGTCTTTGGTTGGCCTGCAATATACTGTTGGCAGCCTATTATGAAGAGTGAACAGTTCCCACAACACAATAGAAAGTTTTCNTGGTTGGCCTGCAATATACTGTTGGCAGCCTATTATGAAGAGTGAACAGTTCCCACATCACAATAGACAGTTTTAATGCACTATGATTGTGTGTAGAACTAAACCCACTGAACAAATGGAAGACTCCAACTTAAAAAGTTAAGACATGCCTTTGGAAGAGGATAATAGGACCCTTGGCCCTATTGACTTCACATAATCATATGCAGCTTCAGGCATTATCTGCTTGTGTTGCACCTGTATACAGAGAGAGATTAGAAAAAGGTGGAAGAAACTTCGACGAATATAATTCAGCATTTATTGTGCTTCATATTGTGCCAGCTTTACAGTGGACATTTCTAGTTCGCCCACGTAATGCATTTTCTTCAAAGGGAAACAAAAGGATTGTCAATTTGGAAAATTGAAAATTTATCTGATTAAAAACTAAGGAAATACCATTTTCTTTTAAACTTTCCCTCTCCCTCCTTTACTTTTTCAACCGAACATTAAACTCACCGACTCTAGCATTAGAATAAAAAACCCCACATATAAGGAGCAGTCTCGGTGCAACCACCACTCCTACGATCCCATCAACGCCAGCAACAGATAATACATAAGCAAAAAAGCCTGGCCACCACAGAAAAGCCATATCTGCTAGACAAGTTCATGGAGAAGCAGAGGGTCATGGCTGCTGGAGAAAAATACCCTCGACCAGGTTGTTATTTTACTGTTCCACAAACAGGTTTTCCATTTGAGTTCAATTTCCCTTGCTTACAAGAATACTAAAATACTATTTCACTCTTTAATTTTGAAGGGACTCCTGATGCGGTTCCATCGCTTTCCAACTTAAAATGTGAGTAGGATAGGTAGAATACCCCATTAGTTACTTGATTGAAACTAAACTCAAATGTGACCTTAGAAACACCGCATGTTGCTTGGTGGCACCAACATCGACACCAAAAATAATTCTATAATGCCAACCAAATGGTATTTGAACCCAACATTTCCCCGTCTTGAAAAATAATGTATTAGCAGTTAATAGGGTACTGACTAAATATACAAGTCAGTTTGTTTCTACATGGATAGGAACCCTGATTTTCAACTTCCATCACATTACATTAGCTAGAGCTGTTTTGAGGATGAAATAACACGTGCCAACCAAAAATTTCAGAGGCTAATGCAAGACAAATGACATAAATGGAACCCATGGGCAATTTAGCTAGAGCAGAAAGTGAAACCTAAAGAAAAAAATATACCATGAATGAAGTCTCAGCTTGGTCAATATGCATCAATGATGGCGCAAAGAGGTAGTTTAGTTCAGAGCACCACATGGTCAATGCCATAAGCCTATGAAATACTTATAAATAATCAGGAAAAAATGAAAGTCTCAGCCAAAATTTTTGCAATAAAATAAATAGACCGAACTGAAGGAGGTAAGCATAAAATAGTGCTGCAACAAACTGCAAAGAAAGGAAGCTTCAACATCATTCAACTTCTGCCAAGCACACTAACCTTGACATCTTTTATTAGACAATTCTAAGCTTCTTTTTTTCTTTCAACAGTATATAAAAATCCAGAGTGTGCCGACAGGGTCCAATTATTTGCATTAGCAAGGAACTTAACTGAACTAACTCTAACAAGCCAAAATCCTATATAAATCCTAAAGGGAGCCAAATGGCCAAACGGTATCAGGAAATCAAGTCCAAGTAATTAAATCAAATTGTTCATCAGGGTGACAATTTTCAACTTAGCATTTAACATGACTCGAACTCAAAAAAATTAGCAATTTAAGATTGACAATTTTTAGACGTGAATCTAAAAATAACACAAATGATTAATAGGTCGGGTTGGTGTCAACATAATTTAAGAATTATGCTGTGGTCTTTATCATCTATTGATATCTGCATCTTAATCCTTCTAGAAGAATGCAACTACCACTCTACATGTGTGAGCCATTTGTTGCACTACGTGAAGATTTCTTGGATGACTTGCCACAGGATTGCTGCCGGGAACAGTATAGGGTCAGTGAGAATCTAAGTATTCGATTCATTACTATAACATCAATGTTTTGGGCCATTGAACGTGTTTAATCCATCAAGTTTCGTTGTTCTCCCTCCACCGGAACCACAAACATTTATTTACTGAAAAATCAAGGTTTTTATTGAGACTATGGTGAATCAACAATGTGGAAAAACATTACAAGATCGGATGCCTCTTTTATCAATGCTACAATGTCACGATCATATTAAGCACATTTAGTTGAGAGACAAAGGGGTCCTGCGGTTTTAGGTTCACGGTTATGTGTGTCAATTTTAATATGACACGATCAACAAACAGATAAGGTTAGTATCATATTATCTGACACAATTAACTAAATATATTGACTTAGGGTTGACTAGAACTTGAGATGAGCAAGAAAGGACAACAACTTGAACGCGACATTACATGATTCAATTGACATCCCTAGTTTTTATAACGAGCTTTAAGTCGAGTCATGTTGAAGAAAACATTTAATGACAATTGCCAACCAAAAGAATACGAAATGAAAGTTGCACATTGCATCAATATCAGCAAAACAGTGACAGCATTGGACACGCGCCGAACCGGATCTTCTGCCCAAAAAAAGGACCACACACACAAACGCATGAACTCCCCAAAGAAAAGGACAGCCCTGCTGTAACTGAATTTGGGAAAAGGAAATCAAACCAACACAAGCAAACAAGACACCTAATTCATACTTTGAGAATTTGTGTAAACTTTAAGAAGCAAACAACCCAGTGAACAATAAACCAGTAATTGACTATCTATACCTAAAGGCCAGAAAGAGGCCACATGATAGGTATATATTAAAGCAGACAGTGGAACTAAAAAAGATGAAAATCATTAAAAAGAAAGAATTATAATAATTGATACTAGCACCAACCAGGATACTTATGAATGAATGCTTACAGCTCATGACAGAACGAAAGAAATCCTCTTCCACATTGAATATTACTACCACTTTATGGCAATCCACCCATTACCAAGTATCATGTCATATGAGAATGAAATTTAAATGCAGATTCTTATCATTATTTTATGGCCAACTCTGTAAAATCACAACCATAAGTTCACTTTCCATTTATATGCCTACCTAGAAAATATAAAACTAATTAAGGTTCTCAAACATTTGATATGCACTTGCACTCCTCCAAGAGGCAAGCCTGGTTATAAACTAATTATAAAATACATTTACGATACCAAGCATAGAAATGGCAACGAATTATTAAAACTTTAGAACAGCATAGAGCAGGCCAAGAAGTAATCAAAATAAAGTACCAAAATAATAAGAGACTCACTCGACATAGAGATGTGGGAACCAAAGTCTTGTATGGCTTGTTCAGAATGACCACCCCAAAACACCAAACTCCTTTAACTGTTTAACATCAGATGAGAATGGAATGGCACCTAGCAGTACAGACTGAGAATGACCATATTACTACTAGAAAGAAGTTTGGATCACAAGCAATGATAAGTGAACTCCATAAACTCTGCTCATAGCCTAACACTTGCATTTAGGGACCAGGAAAAAGAATATTGCTTATTTTTAAACATTTCTTCTCTCTTAGTAAAGATATTCCACCACAATGCCATGAACCCCTGCAATATAATCAAACGAGGATCTCCAGAATACATTAAACACGTTCTTGTTCCAATCCCCGCCTCATCCTAGTAATGTCTGAAACTAGTTCTTTTTCTCCAGAATTCTCCAGATGTTCGACTATGTTGTCCACATAAGGAGCTTTAAGCTGAATTTGTTTCTCCACCATTAGCCTAGCAAGCTTTGCTGCTTCTACCAAATGACTTTCTTGACAAAGTCCGACCAGAATAATAGAATAAATATCAGAATCGACAGAAGACAAGCATCCCAACTTCTCCAATTCTTCATATAAGTGAAAACCATCTAACACTCGTCCCTCCGAACAAAGGGCCTTTATCAAAGTACTAGAAGCCAAACCATCAGGCCTCAGCCCATTGGATATAATCTTCCTAAAGAGCTTTTCTGCCTCCCCTAGTCTTTTAATCCGCAAAAATGACACCACAAGAGAACTATAGCATTCGTCATTAGAAATACTACCTCCTGCAACAACTTTATCAATTAGCTTATAAACCTCCTCTACATGCCCCTCTGTGCAAAGTCCTTCAATCAAAGTGCGAACTGTGATCCTATTTGGTGCACACCCACAAGCCTTCATTCGATCCAAAATGCTCAATGCTCCCATGGCCTGACCCTTCTCACAAAAAACTTGAATCACAGACGTATAAGTCACAACATTTGGGTTACAATCCCCATCTTCTTTCTCCATCTCCCCCAACAACTCCAGTGCCCTCTCTGTACTCCCAAACCTACAAACCCCATCAAGAAGGGCTGAATAGGCCACAGTATTTGGCATACATCCGTGTCCCCTCATAACCTTAAACAACCCACAAGCATCTTCTAATCTCCCCACATCACAAAGCCCCTTAACCATGCCAACATAAGTGATCATATCAGGATACAAATCAATCAAACCCATCTCTCTCATCAATCCCATTGCCATATCAACATCACCCTTCTCACAAAACAATCTAATAACCACATTATATGCCATCGTGTCTGGCCTACAATTAAATTCCTTCATTTTCCTCAACACCCACAGACCCAGATCAGCATTCTTTGCCTCCCTACACAAATTCAACACCACCTTAAACATCTTTACACTAACCAAACAATTTTCGACCCTATAAGCCTCAACCACATCAAAAATCACTTTTGGATTTTGGTTAATTTCAAGCAACTTACAAGCTTTGCTATACATGTATGAGCTGTGCCTATAATTGGGTTGAAGACCAGCCCAGATGAAGAACCTAAGGCCCACGTGGTGTTGTTCAATGGCACATCTTTGTAAAACCTCTTTGACACAGGAAGGGTCAAGTTTAGCTCTAATTATATTCAATGTTTTTTCAATGTGGGAACCATTTTCCTGTAAATGGCTCCAGTACTTTTCAGCTGCTGATGATTGGGTGGTTTTGAGTGATAAGGTTCTTTTGAGTGGAAAATGGGAGTTTTTGACTTTGAACGAGGATGAGAAACAACGAGAGATTGAGAGGAGTGTCATTGATTTTTGGAGACAAATACTAGGATCTTACTGTGAAAAATTTAAGCTCAAATCAATAGAAATGTGAATTTGAAGGTACCTTTGGTTCTGGGGAGGGTCTGAAGAGTAGAGTATTTGAACCAGTAGCCAAACTAGGCTTGAAATGATTTGACTCATTGGCAGGCTGAGCCTCTGAGCAGTGTGATTTAGTCTCAGAAGGATTCAGATCCTTCCAGTACCTCATTCGCCCAATTCCTTCCAATGGCATTATATATAACTGGCATGCGGCAAATTATGAATTGATATACCAGATCTTGTCACTTCAATCAGCAAGCCTAAACACTGTTAAACAAGTTGAAGAGACAATCTTGGTCCGTGTCGTCAGTTGAAGCCACTTTCACACCGCACTACAATTTCTGCAACTAACCACCTCGATCGAATTTCTGAAATCTTGATCCATTTTGTCCACTAATTTCTGCAATTAACCACCTCGAATGAAGCTCAAAGAACCTGCAACTCAATGTTTTAAACCCTAAGCGCCAGAATCTCTCATGAAGCCCTACTTGTGTCTCGCGAGACACTCTTAATCACTGCAAGCTCGCCTCTGCTTCACCCTCGCTGTCGTCTTTGGTTGCGGCGGCGGCGGAGAACGGTGGGATTGAGGCCTCGCAATGGTGAAAATTGGGAGTAGTTTCAGGACGAATTTGATAATCCGGCCTCGACTGTTCCCTAACGCGGAAATTGATGAAGGAGAATTGTTATTTCTTTGCGGGGGAAAATATCACTCCCCCACCCCCCAAATAAATCTTTAATTTTTTATTTAGATTAATTGTGTGTTAGAAGAATTTATCAAAAAAAAAAAATTGTGTTGGAAGTTCCCAAAGTTTGTCACATTGTAATCTTTAATATTTCAATTGCATCATTTTAGTCTTTAAAGTATTAAATATATTTTTATATGATTTTTCAAGTAGACAGCGTCTAGATTGTTAAAAAAAATTTATCATAAACTCGTCATGTAATACTTAAATACGGACAAAAAAATAATTTGAATAACTCTCAACCAAATTTTTATTCAAATTTCAATTAAATTAGTTACCCAAATTAAATAGTTTTGATTATGAGCTATCCAATTTTAGTTAAGAGTTACCCAAATTTTATTTAAAAACTATCAAAATTATTTTTTATGCATAGTTAGGTATTATATAACGTTAAGATTAAACCTTCGTCATCCCCTCACCCGTAATAATATAGTGCATGACCCAAAAAAAAAAACAAAAAAACCTCATATATGAAAAGAATTATGGAGCTTGTGAAGGCCCTCTCTCAAGCTCGCTTCAATTCATGTTGTTACATTTTTTTAATACTTGATTCTTATTATCAGAGTTCTTGACCATTGTTGAGAATAAAGTTCATACCTCATTGTTGCCTTAGTAAAAAACGTTTTTAGCATCCTAAACACATAGATTTCCTTTTTTGTGTACATTAATACTTCGCGACATGCCGGACCGATTAGTATGATTAGATTTTTTTTTTTGTTCAATTAACAGGATTGCTTAAGTTAATTTGTGAATATCTCTACTAATTCTCCTTCTGATCTAATTAAAGGCAGACTATTTACAACGGGGCTACTCATTCACGAGAGATTTTCCTCATGGTTTAATCTCAAAAGATTGCAACTTCCAATATTCAAACTTAGGATGTCTGAATCTATAATTTAATTCACGTTATCATTTAAACTACCCTTAAAGTTTGATTAAAAATTATGTGGGCCAAATGTCCAACAATCGGGCTAGTCTTAATGGTTTTTAGTGGGCTAGTTCCAGCGGGCTTACGTTTTTATGTTTTTAAAATCTGACATATTTCTTACATATTGTTGAATTTTGTTGGGTCATTTAGCTGGACTGCAGGCTACTACCCTAACTAACCATCTACACATGCCTTACATGCCTTATACCCAACAAGCCCGTCACGCGTAGTGGGCCAAAAAATGGATGTTACTGAACCAACTGTTGGGCTATTGGTCTTCGTATTTTAGGGGTTAGAGTTTAGGAATTAAAATAGGGCCAAAAAAATGTTACCTAGTCAACCATTGGATTATTGGGCCTCGCTTGAGGACATGGGCCATTTGGCAAGCCTTCACGGGTTTTTGGCGGGCTTGTTCTAACAAGACTCTTTTTGTTTTTATTTTTTCAAATCTGCTATATTACTTCAATTTCGTCGATATTTGTTAGATCTTTGGGCCGAATCACGGGCTACCCATCAAAAAGCATGGGAATCTGATCCATTAAACAATAAAAAAATAAAAAAACAACTTCCTGTATTCTTTCGGCCACAAGCCTGAGAAAAAGAAAGATACCTCATTAAATCATACCTTCTCACAAAGCTTTGTCCTCTTAAATAAACATCCTTTCCTTTTCTTTCTTGTTTTCTCCTTCTCTTATTCCCCAAATTACACATTCACGTTGTAGTGTTCAACAATCTTTGTTCTAAAAAAAATAAATAAAAGAATTCGAGAAACGAATCTACTTAAGATTNTTATTCCCCAAATTTCACATTCACTTTGTAGTGTTAAGCAATCTTTGTTCTAAAAAAATAAAATAAAACAATTCGAGAAACGAAACTACTTAAGATAATATCATAAATCACTTAAGATAGTCGCTTAAGGACACATGGATCCTCTGAAATTGAACCAAACTTCACCCACTTCGTAGGATTCGGATTCCTCTCCATAATCAACATGGAAAGGTTGTACTATATTTGGTGGAGGATAAGAGATTATGTGTAAAGCATATTTTTAAGATTGTTCAGCCAACACAAAGATACCAAAAGTGATTCTATAAAACATTCTTTGTCTCTTCGTATACGAGTCATACTTATCTTTATCCTTCATCAAATGTTCTTCAACCCACATGGTTCCGTTATAACTAAGCAAAGCCAAAAAGTACATCCTACTATGTAACATTTGGATTTGCTTATACTAAACTTTCCAGAAGTCGGAAATGAAGTAATGATAAGTATTTATTTGCTCAAACAATACATCGCAGGCTCGAGTTCAAAGATCAGCCTACTCAAAAATTAGGTCTAAAAATAGAGTAAATATTCGATGCAATGGTGATACTACGTCATCACTGTTACATAATGTCACCATCCAATCAAAATAATAAAAATCAACAAAAGTGAATTCTACTATTTTCATAATTATCATAACCATCACATCTAATCGTAAACATATAAGATTAGCATAATTCACTTTAATTATTTGTGATTTTATAATTGAATGGTGATACTATATAGAGATAATGACGTTTTGTCACAATTACATTGAATATATGCTTGTTATTTATCTCTTTCAAACCTTAGAATATACTCTGATTTTGTATATTGAGTACGACATTTTTTTTATCAATCCAAATATTTAGTAATGCATAACGGGCCTTTTCAAAAAGATTATTTCTACTAAGAAAAATCAAATGTCCTATTATGATCAAATAATTTGAGTAATCCCAAGTCTCTTCCATGATGGTCATAGACAAATTTTCTTGATGGGCCCACCCTGTTTTTTATTTTACAATTTTTTTTAGAAAAATAAAAAGCTATTATATTTTGAGACCATGCGTGGTCCTAAAGGGCATCTAAAATCACCTCCAAAACTTAAAGAATTTTAGAATGTGGAGAGGGAAGACAGAGAGAAGAAAAGCATACCCTCCACCAAAGTTGCAAGCACAGAATTTTTAAATCAAAAAAAATTAAAAATTAAAAACTAGCGTATGCATTCCAAAAGTAGAATCCTAACCACATCCACGCAACCTATTTGCTTCCTTCAACCTTTTCCATTCCCCAAAATGTCCTTATTTTCCTCCAAATTATTTTTCAGTGGGAGGTGTCACATATTTATGAAGTCATGCTGATGTACTCTTAGAGTAAATAAATTATTTAAATATTTATTGCCATCGATATCTAAGTATATATAATAAAATTAATAACGACCTCGTACAATGTAAGAATTTTTTTTGCTCAACTGTCAGAGGTGTTCGATTTAACTTACACATAAAGCGTATCTCGACTAATCCTCTGTTTGATATGGTCAAATACATATCATTTATACCGTGAATAGAATATTTATGAAGGAAAAAGATAGGTAACATGGAGGAGTGATGTATTAAGAGTTTAAAATTGAGTAAAAATTATTTGTTGGTTGTTATCTACTAACATGAGAGAGTGGTGGTAATAAAAATCCAAGTTGTTTAGTTGTTGCAAGTAGATCAGGTCAAACAAATTAAAATTATGAGAATTTAGCATTTGGAAGGAAATAATTCTCAAGTTATATCTTACAAAATTAGTTATAATGATATACAATATAGATTACGGGCAGAGAAAAGAAAAGAGAGGGAGAGGGGAAGATCCTAAGCTTGAATGTAGCATTGTGTTACGATGAAACATAGACGAATTGTAAACTCAGATGTTCTGAATTTGAATCTTGGCAATCTTTTGAGATTAGGTTATTTGAGACTTATTCTTCATGAATATTCTACTTCTAGCATAGATGACTTATTTTTGATCAAACCCAAAAAAAAATTAGTTAAGATATGCGTAAACTGGTCTAGATCCCATTGACCATTAAAAAAAAACATAATATAGTAAAATTTCCACAGTTAAATGCTAAAAGAAAAGGGTATCAATGTCAATTGGTGAAATTGGTTTAAAGGAACCAAAAGCATAGCTTGAAATCAGCTCACTCCTCCCCAAAACTTTCCTCATCGCTCTTTCCTCTTCTTCACTTTTTCTTACCCTCTAAGTCTTCTGTCCTTCATCTTCCAATCCTTTTCAAATTCTGCAACATCTATAACATCCAAAACGAAGCTTTCCTCTGTAATTTCAATGGCCGATAATACAGTCTCCTACACCCCCAAACCACAAATCTTAAGCTCACAAACCAAACCAAACCAAGCAAACCCAAGTAAGTTCTACAATCATTTTCTATACAAAGCTGTCATAGTTACAATTTTTCTAATTGTAATCCCACTTTTTCCTTCACAAGCTCCTGAATTTATCAACCAAACTCTTCACACCAGTAGTTGGGAGCTTCTTCAGCTTATTTTTGTAGGTATTGCTGTCTCTTATGGCCTTTTTAGTAAGCGAAATGATGAAACAGATAAAGAACATGGCTCAAAATTGGATAATGCTCATTCATTTGTATCCAGATTGCTTCAGGTTTCATCAGTTTTTGATGATGAATCCGAAAACCCATCTGGGTTTGATGACAACAGGGTTCAAACTTGGAGTTCTCAGTACTTGAGAGGTGAACCAGTGGTGGTAGTAGCCCAAGAGAGCCCTTTCCTTGAAGAGCAGAGAAGTTCGAGTTCTCGAATCGGTGAAAAGCCATTGCTTTTGCCTGTTCGAAGCTTGAAATCTCGTGTTTCCGACTCTGATACTAGTGAATCAACCAATGACTCTAGTGGTAAATCCTTTTCTCTCAGTGAGTCTAGTTCAAATTCGAGTTCCAGGCGTTTCTCTGGCAATTCGAAGAAATCGAGAAATGGGGAATTTGGAGTCACGAGTCCTCCAGATTTGGAGGAAAATGTTGTCCTTCGTTCGCCAATTCCATGGCGATCAAGATCAGGAAGGATGGAAATGAAAGAAGACGGGGATAATCCTCCCCTGTATTCTCTCCCTCCTTCAATGGAGGACTCTGAGTTCCATGAACTTAGATCACGTTCGTTTAGTTCTCGATCATCACGTTCATCGAGACCCAATTCCATTTCTGGATTGCCAAACAGTTTCTCTTCTTCACCGCTCTTATCTTCCCCTAAAAATCTCTCTCCTTCCTCTTCAATCTCATCGGAGATTCAACCCAAGAATGTCGAAAATTTGGTGAGGAAGAAGAGAATCCTCCAATCTTCACCGCCACCAGCTCCACCACCACCTACGCCGCCATTTCTTCATAAATCTTCATTGATGAACTCAAATTCTAGTGAGGAAAGTGATGTTATTTCCTCTGAAAAAGAATTGAGGCGAAGTGTACCTACGGATTTTAATAGGAGTAACAGATTTGAAGCCCTGAGCAGGGCAAGTTCAGGGTCACAATCGAGATCTAGAACCCAAATTAATACTCCATTGGAGGGGAAGTCTGTTCGAAAAAATAAACCAAACGAACAATTAGAGAGTGAATTTGGTGAAGATTTCATGAATGGCAAAGCAGAGAGAAGATCAAAGGAACTTGAATCAAATTCCTTTCACAAAAGAGGATATTCAGATAGATTGATGCAAGAATACATCCCTGCTGTCTTGCATCAATCTTACATGGAATTGCCAAAGGCGGAGAAGAAACAATTCATCGAAAAGGTGATGGTGGAAACTGATGATGGGGACTCGTTGAGTGAGGATGAATACTTTGAAGGAAGTTTAGACAGTGAAGAAGTTACATCTAACAGTGTTGATAGTGAAGAAGTTGCATCTAACAGTGTTGGCGATGGCGGACCAGATGTTGACAAGAAGGCTGATGAGTTCATAGCCAAATTCAGAGAGCAGATTAGGCTTCAGAGGATTGAATCAATAAGGAGATCAACTGGACACCATTCTAAAAACTCTTTGAGGTAACTTGGATTTGGAATTGATTTTCATGTTTAATATCTTCTCCTGGCATAGAAAAATGAGCGATAAAATTGCGTTCATTCAATCTTTTTAGATTCAGACCCGTGTATTGGATTGTCTTTTTTTATACACGAATTTATGTGATACTTTCTTTGTAACCAGCAACCTAACAGAGGTATTTTCAACATTGATTCTTTGTGTTTGTTGGTTATGGTTTTAATTTTTGCTTGGTTATAATGTGAAAGATGATCTCTCTTCTGCAAATTCCAATTAAAAATTGGGGATGAACATCATCTTAAAAATGGCTGGACCAAGCCTTTAGGTCTGATGTTTCAATGGGAGGTAACATCAATGTTGTAAATGCCAATTTGGTTGATCATGTGACCTTGAAATGATCATTGTCATCAGAGCTTTGCAGCATAAAAAACAAATTATGAATCTGAGACCAGGAAGAAAAAATTTCAGACTGGCAATGTCCACTGAAAACCAGCCTTGTTCAATACTATGGCATGCTTGTAAATCTTCCAGGTCATAGCTTCAACTGTTTACATTTTTTGTGGGTAACAATTTTTTTTTAAAAAAGCCCTGAGGTGAACTAGTGGCATGCAAGGGTNACTGAAAACCAGCCTTGTTCAATACTATGGCATGCTTGTAAATCTTCCAGGTCATAGTTTCAACTGTTTACATTTTTTGTGGGTAACAATTTTTTTTTAAAAAAGCCCTGAGGTGAACTAGTGGCATGCAAGGGTCAAATCACAAAGTGCTAAAGTATAAATATTTAAATTATATTAGCTCTAATAGTTTAAGTTTTTTTTGGAGTAGATAATTGTTAAATAAAGTATCAGGGCAGGAGATCATGTATTCGAATCTTATTGCCACCCTAATTATTNATTTAAATTATATTAGCTCTAATAGTTTAAGTTTTTTTTGGAGTAGATAATTGTTAAATAAAGTATCAGAGCAGGAGATCATGTATTCGAATCTTATTGTCACCCTAATTATTAAAAAAAAATCACATGTTAAGTCTAAAATCTAACATGCGGACATGTTTTAAACTTTCAAAGTAAATGACTGTTTAATACACAACAAGTAATTATAAAACTTGCATGTATAAACATAAAAATAACCACTTCTATTCTACCATAAACTTAGAAGAATAATGATTTATGGGAGCCTAGAAGAAGATGATTTATGAGAAAAGATTGGACCTGCTTCAAACAACTGTTATAATAGATATTAGAAAGAGTAATAGCCTGCGACCTTTAGGTCCAACAGTGGGGTGGTTCGAACCTCATTCACCTTCTTTCCATGTAAAAAACTGTTCAAAAAATATATATAATTTTTTTTTTTTAAAAAAAGAAAGAGTAATCGCAGAAGAATAGAAGCCAGTTTTTGAATGGCAATCATAAGGACTTTATCTTATCCACAGAATTTAACCATAACCTGGTTCAGACCCATTTTTTTCAATAATTTGGTTCAGACCCTAGTTCAATTTTCCTTCTAATTTATATAAAAGGCGTGGATCATTTTTGGTGTGGTGGATCACATTACTTCCAGCTTACCCCAATTTCACATTTAAAACCAATTGCCACTTGTGATTCAACATCGTCTTGTAAGTTGTGATCATCCAAATTAGAATTTCTCTCTGCTCTAATGAATTGGTGTTTAAATGCCATTCTTTGGTATCTCACCCAAAACAGGCTCTATATATAATCTTTCTTTTTTTTAATATTGCGGTTAGAGTTGTTCAAACACCTCGACTAATTTCCTTCTCGGTCTAATTAAAGGTAGATTNTTGTTCAAACACCTTGACTAATTTCCTTCTCGATCTAATTAAAGGTAGATTATCCACGTCGAAATTAGAAAATTCATGAGTGATAAATTCCTTATGTCATGGCCTCAAGGGAGTTGCTAATTTTCAAACTTAGAACACCTTAAGGTTTTATATAAAATATTCAATAAATAAATATTTTTCTAGCGAAAATGCAATTGCAAACTTGGTCTTAATAACTTAGCTTATAATAAGTTTCCCCTTGGCCTTATTCTTAATTTTTTGGGTCAGCTAGACTGTTTCTTAGTTGATGACAACAAAATTTCAACTTCGTCTATCAAGATGTTTGAATAATCAAATTTAGTGTATATAATTTGTGTAACCATATTGTGATTCTAAATAGTGTAACTATTTAGTTTATGTAAATAAATAAATGACAAATTAGGTTAGTGTCGTAATTTCGTGTAATTGTTTGAGTGTAACTGTTTGGTGTATTATAAGACAATTATAACTGATTGACATAATTATTTGTTGTAACATTAATATAAGGGGAGGGAGAGAGAATAAGGGAGAGGGAATAACGGTGAGAGAAAATAGGAGGAGAGAGAGTGAAAAAAAAATAAGGGAGAGAAATGAAAAAAATCAAATCAAATATTTACATATTTTTAAAAAATAAATTATCAATGAGAGAAAGAGTGAAAAAATAAAAATTAAGCAAAATTTAAAGAAGGGTAAATAAGTAATTTAAATAAAAAGTAAACTGAATTGTATATCTAATAACAAAAAATTTAAATAAAAGTGTATTTAATAGACTAAAAAACGTATCAGTACACTTTCCTTCAAATAAGTCTTAAAACATGTAACCGTGCAAAAAAAAAAAAAAAACCCCATAAAATTAGGCTATGTTGCCATCAATATGATCAACCAGCCCACTGGGCTTCAACAAATCCTTCCCATGGTTTCTTTGGAAGACGGTAGACTTAATAAGATTGATTTAATAAAAAATATATATAATAAAATATATTGAAAAAAAATACACAGTTGAAATATAAAGACATAAATACCCATTTTAGGGTCATTTAATTCAAAATCTCTTACTTTTAATGCACATTGATTCATGTGTATTTATTAATACATATAAATACGTATTTAATGCACTTTGATTCATGTGTATTTATTAATATATATACTTATTGTTAAATCTCTTATCTAAATTTTGAATTATCTTTAATACACTTTTATTCATGTGTATTTTTTTTTTTGGAAAGTGATTTTGTTTTTAAATTATATTTAATGCACATTGATTCATGTGTTTATATTTTGGAAAGTGATTTTATTTTTAAATTAATTTAATATCCAAATAGTATAATAGTATAATAATAACAATGTAACAGTGTAATAAATACACTGTAACAAAAACAATATTCAGTAATTTTGTGCATGTGGTAATAAATTCAAAATAGAAATAAACTATTTTGAATGAAATTATATTAAATTATATATTTGACAAAATGTAATAGTACAATATTTTGGGTAAATAACTTGTTACACTGTTATTATCACATTGTTACACTTTTATTGTTATATTGTTATACTGTTATTGTTACACTATTATACTATTCGGATATTAAATTAATTTAAAAATAAAATCACTTTCCAAAAAAAAAAAACATATGAATCAAGGTGCATTAAATATAATTTGAAAACACCATTATTTTCCAACAAAAAAATACGCATGAATCAAAGTGTATTAAAGATAATTCAAAATTTATATAAGAGATTTAACAACAAATATATATATATATTAAAGTTCTCTCATACAACTAGGAAATGTTTAATACACCACTTTTCAAAAAAAAGTGGTGCATTAAATGCACATAGATTAATGGAGGACAAAAATATCACAAAAAAATCAGTAAAATTCAAATAGTGTACTTCAATTCAAATAAGTATCAAAATTAAGGACTTAATTACCCAATTTTTATTTTTTTTACTTTTTAACAATTAAGTCTAATTTTATATACCTCCTTCCAATTTTCCCTTGTTTTATATTTTGTTCCACACCAACCCATTAATTTCCCTCGTTAATTATGCTTGTGGCTAAGGAGATTTTGGGTAATTAGCCTCCAGCTAACTGGTTTTTGAATTCACCAAACAAACTATCCCCGAAGGTTCGTGGAAAAATATTGGGAAAATGCTTTCGCTATTTTTTCGATGATGATATTCAAACTTCAATCAAAAATTACACAAAATAGCTCGACTGCTACCTTTAGGGTTATGAGAATTATTTTCTTCGTTTTTGAAGTCACAGACCTACTTGTATGTTAAATGTTATTGTCAATTAGTACACAGCAGTGTCATCAGAAATGGACAAGACCGGCAGTTTAACCCGGTGAATTGGGAACTGAACCGGTTCAACTCTTGAAGCAAACAACGTGTCAATAAACCGTTTATAAATTATTAAATCGGAATGTTGGAATTTCAAATGGTATAAAAAATAATAATTTATTTTTTTTGGACATTTAGCCCCAAGTCATTTCGCATTTCGCATTTCGTCCTCCTCTTCTCTAAGCGGCGAACAAGCAGATTGGTCCTCCTCCCCACTCAATCTCTCTCTCTCTCTCTCTCTCAATCTTGAGTTTGATAGGCAACACCCCATCCCTCAATCCCCGTAAGCTGTAACCCCTCTTTCTCTCGCACACACCCTCTCACGAGTAACGAACGTCACACACCCACCCACCCACTGATTGGTACTTTGATCGTTGGTCAATTCTCCAGTTTGTAAAATTTCGGGTATAATGCATTTTGTTCAACTAAATTTAATGTAGAGTTTATTCACATCAATGTACCAAAGTCAAGAAATTATAGAAAAGTCTTCATATTTAACTTTGAATGATGATTCTGTTGACATTAAAATTAGAGTTGAATGATGATTCTGTTGACATTAAAATTAGAGACTGTAGACTTTAGGGATGAAGTTTGAAATAGTTTCATTGACTTTANCTACCTTTAGGGTTATGAGAATTATTTTCTTCGTTTTTGAAGTCACAGACCTACTTGTATGTTAAATGTTATTGTCAATTAGTACACAGCAGTGTCATCAGAAATGGACAAGACCGGCAGTTTAACCCGGTGAATTGGGAACTGAACCGGTTCAACTCTTGAAGCAAACAACGTGTCAATAAACCGTTTATAAATTATTAAATCGGAATGTTGGAATTTCAAATGGTATAAA